GCAACACACATGCTCTTTCAGAGGGCACTGGGTCGGCCCACATCTTTAGCGTGGTTGTTTTGATGAGGTCGCCGAGAACGGGGCCGATCGCGACGCCGACAGGTAGTTCAAACAAAGCGTGACCATTGCGGACCACTGCTGCCTTCAATCGCATGTTGAAGGTGTCCGTGCCGCCGTGCGCCTGAACAGAGATGAACACGTAAAACCGTGACACTTTGCAGACGCCGCGGTAGGAGACAGGCAGCAGCGTCCTGATATCCGACGGCGAGCGAGGGGGGGAAATGAGAAGGAGAAGGCCTTCTGAGAAGGCGGCGGGGCTTCTCAGAAGGCCTCTGGCCGTCTGAGAGGTTCTCTGTATCTTCGGGGAGCGCTTAGACAACTTCTCAGAAGGCCGGGGGGGCTTCCGAGTCTTCTGGAAAGGCCCGCCCCTTCTTACTCCCCCCCGGGCTCGCCGCCGAGATGCGCACGGGCATGACACGGAACCTCAAACAAACTTGTTTGGGCTGCACGTGCCCTGCGCTGCCTTCGGCTACCGTGCACGGATAGCCTCAGCGACCGCTTCACCGTCAGGTATAGCTCTGCGTCGGGAAAAATTGTGGTGGGTGGTGACAGGCTCCAAGATGTGGGCAACCTCGGCCGAAGTCACTGTGGGCTCACTGCTTAAGCCGAAAAGTCCTTGTGCTCGCTCGGCAGGTCAGCTCGCAAGTCGACGGCTGCGGCGTGCAGAGCCCTAAACGACCCTCCACCTCGTCCTCGTGCTCCCCACATTCCCCCTCCCGTCGCACTCCTCCTTCTCCTCCGTCCGTTCCTTCTCCTCTTCCTCTTTCTCGTCGTTGCTTCCTTTCTGGTCGTCCTCGTCCTCGTCGTGATTCTGCTTGTAGTCGTCGCCGTCGTCGTTCTAAGACCCTGTAATTGGGCTTCTTCTGCCATGGCCCACAGGTGTGAAAATACCCACATCGAGCATTGTGGACGTCCGGATATCACACGGTCGACTGCGAGCATGATCAAGTCGAAACTTTTAAGACATGATTGGCACGCTGGGCGGCAAGCAGACCGTCGAGATACTGCGCGGCTCTGGTGGTGAAGTAGAACCATCTGCTACTGACAGCGCGCTGCTTGATGACGACTTGTTCGAGGTATGGGCATGCGTCTACTCCTGTTGGCTACGAGTTTGGGCCAACATGGAATGCCACATGGAGAGAGACTGCTTGAACACATGCGAAAAGAACATCGGCAGCGGCGTGCCACTGCTGGCAAAAGACATGGACTCGCACAAATCAGAAGTTTGGGGGTGAGATGGAAGCGAAACTCGGCCACGCGCAGAAGGGGCTGGGGGGGGTTGGGCGGTGTCGTCAGAAGCGCCCCTGCTCCTTAGAAGGCGCGGGTCCGATCTCTAGATGTAAGGCCAGCGCCTCCTGAGAAGCAGCCTGCCTCTAAGAAGCCCTCCCCCCTCACCCCACCCACTTGTGCGCGCCGCCAACAGGCGGAGACTCCCTCAGGGAAGACGGCTTCGGTTTCGTGCTCGTGCCGTGCCGTGCGGGCGAGGCGAGGCGAGGCTGCGTGCGCGGGGCGAGCGGAGTGATCCCGCTGCTGCTGGGGCGAAGAAGAGTCAGGGCGAATGTGTCTCTCCGGCCAATTATTGGATTTGGGCCTGGGGTAATCGCGGGTTGCCCCATGAGTGTCCCTCGGTTGTAGCGTGGTTGTCCCGATGGTTGTCCGGATGGCTGTCCGGACGGCTGCCCCTATGGTAGATAGATTGAGTGGTTGCTCGTGGGATCGACAGTTCTATGGATAGTGGTAGCAGTAGTTAGACAATGATTTGGTATACGAATCGAGCGATAAATCGTGAGACTGGCCGGTATATGTTGTCTCGATGGTTCTGGATGGTCGAATGACTCGTTGACGTTGATACTGGGATCGATAGATGGGTAGTGAGGTCGATAGATAGTGAGGCCGATAGAGATAGATAGACCCATAACGACTGTTCGTTGGATGGAGACGGCCGTCCCGATTGTTGTCCCGTTGTTGGTTCTCACCCACTCACCCAGCCTCCCTATCGGCCTTTGGACGGTCTGACAGCTAGTTTGATATGGTTGCTCCATGCGTTGGGATGGCGTGCTAGTCGTTCCCAGTGGGCCACGTTGTCCTTCGACGTTGGGTCGTCCTCACGACGCGGAACTTGCTGCTGCATCCAAGTGACAACGTCTACAACAAAGTGCAGGCATGCTCATGTATCAATGCATGCATGGGCAACGACTGCTGCGAATTCACATGATGGCACCCATGGTAAAACTGGTCAAAGTTGGCGGGAATTCCAAATGGGCGGCACTTGGGCTTGCTGGGGGCAGTATGGTACAGTTTGGCCGCTTCTGCAACGAGGCGGCGGTGTTGGGCCTCCATTAGGCGTCGCCGTCAGCGTTGAACAGCCAACCCAAAGATCTTTGGCTGCCTGCGAGACTTTTCGTAATGGGCGTTTCCACTTAGTGTATTCTTAATCCGTTGCGTTGAATGCTCGCGACACGATTGGCGAGTTTCGATCGGATCGTCGCTTAGTGGGGGTGGCCGTCGTGTCTGACTCAATCGGTGTGTACTGCAGGCCCAGCTATGCCTTTGTCAGCTGTAGTGTGTCGTGCGTGTTCGACCATGGCTGTACGACTTGTTTCAGAACGTTCGCTCTGCTGTATCAGCACCTTGCCCGAGGAGATGCGAAACTGCTGAGGCTCTGGTGGGACCCCAAGTTGTGGGGAAGGATCGGAAGAAGGAGGCAGGGAGGTTGGAGGCCAAGGCTGGACAGTGAAGCAGGCAGGCATGCAGCTCTTCTCGAGCTAAGGCCGAGGCACCTGGAGCATCTAGAGCACTTGCGCAGCACCACGTGCAGGGAAAAGAGAGAAGGATGGAGGGAGAAGGAGGAGGAGGAGAAGGAGGAGGAGAAGGAGGAGGGTGAGGCGTCAGTCAGCCGAACGATGCAAACCGAGGCTGTCCGACGCCTGTGCTGTAACCACCTCTCGATGGGCATATCCCCGATTGGTGTGGTGGACTAGTGGGGATCGGGAGGGGGGTTTGGAGAACGGATAGGGAGCGGAGCGGAGGCGCCGTGGCGCCTGAGCAGGTTCGACGCAGAACTGGGTAAGGGAGCGCGCAGTGCCGCGTGAGCGCGATGCAAGGCTAAACGCGGGGGGAAGACGGCGAGCGGACGCGAGAGGCGGTGAACTGATAGGCGGTGGGAGAGAAGACCAGGGCCTCGAGATCTCCTGCTCCACGAACTCGTCCAGCTGCAGGTTCAGACCTCGGCCCAGCCGCGCAGGCGTCGGCGACCCCGAAGGGTGTGTGGCTTGCAGAGGGCGTGGCCTGCCACCCGCACCCCGGGGCGCGGGCGAGAACCTCGACGGAGCTCCCTGCCGCGCTACGAGGAGGCCCGACGACGGCAATGTGGTGCCCCCCCCCCAGCGAGGAGGGGGAGCAGGAGGCGGAGGAAGAGGATGAGAAGGAGGAGGAGGGGGAGGGGGAGGAGACAAGCTAGGTGCGCTCGCGTCATATCTGACGTCCTACCCCTCCCTCCCATCCCTTACCATGGCGCTGATTTTCTCTATCCGCGGACGCGTGTCGTAGCGGACCTGTGGCTCCGCGCGCGCGTGCGTAGTGGGTGGTGGTGCACGTGCGTGCGTGCGTGCGTGTGTGTGCGTGGTTGTCGTGGTGGTGGTGGTGGTGGTGGTGGTGGTGGTGGTGGTGGTGGTGGTGGTGGTGGTGGTGGTGGTGGTGGTGGTGGTGGTGGTGGTGGTGATGGTGGTGGTGGTGCTGGTGGTGCTGGTGGTAGTGCTGGTGGTGGTGGTGTTGGTAATTACTGGTGCTGGTGCTGGTGGTGGTTGTGGTGGTGGTGGTGGTGGTGGTGGTGGTGGTGGTGGTGGTGGTGGTGGTGGCGGTGCGGCGCGGTGGTGGCGGGCGGATGGGCGCGCGAGAAAAAGGCCCGCGCTGGGGCGAGAACGCCATCCTGAACGACGGAGGCCAAACACCGATCCGAAAATGAGGCCCACGCTGCAGCGGGAGCGCGATTCGGAACGATTCGGGAGCAGAAATGAGGCCGGCGCCTCAACGAGAGCAGCATTTTGGGAAAAAATGACGCCGGCGCCTCAGCGAGAGTCGTTTCCCGGGATTTTCCGGGCATCCTGTGTGTAAAAAACAATACGCGGAGGGTGCGCGGCTATCACCCGGACGCCATCAGGGGAAGGATTCGGGAGCAGAAATGAGGCCGGCGCCTCAACGAGAGCAGCATTTTGGGAAAAAATGACGCCGGCGCGAGAGCAGCATTTTGGGAAAAAATGACGCCGGCGCCTCAGCGAGAGTCGTTTCCCGGGATTTCCCGGGCATCCTGTGTGTAAAAAACAGTACGCGGAGGGTGCGCGGCTATCACCAGGACGCCATCAGGGGAAGAGGGAGAGTATATTCATATTGAGTAATTATGGAGGAAGAAGAGGAGGAGGAGGAGGAGGAGGAGGAGGAGGAGGAGGAGGAGGAAAGCCCTAACGACCCGCATCGCAAACCACACCCTGGCCTGAACCCGCGCCCTTTGCAGCCCATGACACTGAACGCCCGCTCGGGGCACATGCGGTGCCCCCACAAGCCCCAACGACCCGCACAGGGGAGGCCAGTCCACAAGGAACCTTCCACCAGAAGCCCGACCCTGAGACCCCAGGACGCCCACGGATCTGTGCAGTGGGAGCGGCACTCTCCCCCTCTCGCAAAACCGTCGAAGCCCAAGACACCCAGGGCACCTGGAGGCAAGCCGACTGCTTCTTGGCATGGGCCTCCACTGCACCGCAGACCACACCCCTGGCCTCAACCGCGCCCTCTGCAGCCCGCGACCCCGAACCGCCCCTGCTCGGGGGGCCCCCCGCCGCGCCGACGCGCCACGAGGCGGGCGCTGCTCGGGGGACGGCGTGGCGACGGCAGGAGCCTTCCCCGAGCACGGTGGAGGCGTCTGCTGAGGAACCGTCCCGGGAGGCGCCGGACCCTGGAAGCTCCCCTATCCGATGGGGGCGGCGGCGATGTCCATGGCCGATCCACGAGGGGCGCCCCATCCGCGTCCAGATCCTGGGTTCCCTGCCTGAGGCTTCCCGATCCAATGCCCTCACAGTGCGCCCGAGACGACGACGAGGGGCGCGGGCGGCCAGCGAAGCGAGGGCGAGCACGGCGAGCAAGCGCGTGGGAGACCCGCTTCGCACACCGCACCCCCTTGGCAGCCGCGGCCCGCGGGACGGACGCGGGCACCGCGACCTCCTCCTCCTCCTCCTCCTCCTCCTCCTCCCTCCCTCCCTCCCTCCCTCCCTCCCTCCCCCTCCCTCCTCCTCCTCCCTCCTCCTCCTCCTCCTCCTCCTCCTCCTCCTCCTCCTCCTCCTCCTCCTCCTCCTCCTCCGCCTCCGCCTCCGCCTCCGCCTCCGCCTCCGCCTCTGCCTGCCTGCTCCTCCTCCTCCTCTTCCTCCTCCCTCCTCTTCCATCCTCCCTCCTCCCTCCTCCCCCTTGCCTTCTGAGACGTGTCCTGCGTCCTCGGGGAAGGCCCAGAGAACTTGCTCACAAGGCAAGGGGGGGGCCTCCTGAGCTCTCTGAGAGGCCCACCCCCTCCCACTTCCCGGTGCCCGTCGCACGAGAGAGGGGGAGCGAGAGATTCGGTCAAGAACTTTCGCTTCGCGTGTCGCCCCGGCTGCCCCGGCGACGCGCTGGGCCATGCTCCGTGACGGCGTGTCGCCCCGCTCCGCGGGGCGGGAGGCGGGCAACGACTCGGGATTTTGTCGCCTGGGGGCCCGTAAGAGGATAGCGTGTCGCGCCGAAGCTTGGTGGGCCAGAGCCGGCGGAGCGAAACGCTACGGAAGAGCTCCCGAGCGCAGGTGGCGACAACTGAACCCTACCCCTGTCAACCATCGATTCTCTGAACCGATGGGAGGGGGAGGAGGAGGAGGAGGAGGAGGAGGAGGAGGAGGAGGCAGAGGCGGAGGCGGAGGAGGAGGAGGAGGAGAAAGAGGATAAGGGGGAGGAGGAGGAGGAGAAGGGGGAGGAGGAGGGGACAGGGTTCGGACTTCGCAGTTGATGCCGCCTCAGCCATTCGGGCGCCTTGTCTCATATACACCTATCTCAGCCTCGTACCTCCATGATTGCTTTCGCCTCCCCGCGCATCGCCCTAGTTCTACAGATCCCGCGCAGAACTGCCATCACGTGTCTATGTACCTCCCGTTCCTTCAAGCAGCTCACGTAAGGCCTCTCCTGCGGCCGCCGTCGCTGTCGTCCGTCTTTCACGCTCCTCCCGCCTTTGCTACTCCGTTTGTTGGCAGCTGGCCTATCCTCCCCCTCAGGGGTCGTCCCTCGCTGTTGGCTGGTGAACGGTGAGCTCCCGAGTGTCCGCGTGCGGATGCTCGTGAGTTTAGCGAACGCCTCCTACGGCTTGTTACATCCCCTGTTCCCCCCTGTCTCGCCCGTCGTTGCTGCTTGCTGGCGGGCCGAACTCTTTGCTCACACTCGGCGATCTCTCTTTATGTGTTTCCTAAGCCGGTCTGTGTTGACATTTCTCCACTCTTGGAGGATTGTATGGGCGGTGTTTGATGGGTGTGGGTGTGGAGTTGGAGGAGGAGCAGCAAGCATTCCTGGCCCCCCTAGACACCAGGGAGATGGCCCCAAGACATTTTGCCTCACAATCGCGGACAATTCAACCAATTGGGCCACCCAGTACCGTCAGCGCCAGCCTTGTACTGGACACATCCAGCCGTCACCTGTTCTATTACCCCTTGAACTACGATGACTTCTGCCAGTCTCTTTTCTCAGCTGCTTACAGCGGCTACAGTGGCGCCCCACCTTGCAGCGCTGTTTTGCAGGCCAGCACACGTTACAGTACAACCACTTTGACCAGACAGGACCGCCTGAGCCAACCACTATGCAACGGCATCCGCAGAGGATGACTAAGCTACTTCTTCGCGCACGTGTTCTCTTCTCGTGCGGCTGCACCCAAATTTCAAAGTGTCAGTACTTGAGTTCTCCTCGGCCACACTTTGGCCCACTATGATCTCTGCCAGCCTCTACTCTCGGCTGTTCATACGTCGGTGCAGTGTGTTGTCGTTTTGGCACTCGGTAGGGGAGTGACTCAGGACACTCCCACTGTAGACTACCGACCACAGTCTGCCCAGTAGGCATCACTCCCTTCAACAAATGGGCAGGCATTACATGGCTCAAAACACCCTGGCCAGCCAATACGATCAGAGCCAAACACTTGCATGACTTGCTCTGCCGCGCAGGCCAGCCAGTACAATCCGGCAAACTTTCAGCTAAGGGGGACTGGGAGGCATCACTGGAGGCGGTACTGGGAGTGGTTATGGGGAGGGATACGTAGCTTAAGCCTGCTACAAGTGCCTTGGTCCGCACTGTTCTCTCACCTGACAGGTGCACTGTACCCAGGAGGGCATCAGTGCCACTCTGGTGGCCACAGTGACGCCCCCCCCCTTGGAACTGAAACGGTGACTAGCAATCAGCCGCCACTCGCCTCTTTACAACTAATGTTGCTGCTTTCTGTCGCCTCTCTAGCATCGCCTCTCTTGCACCATTATACCGCACTGCTCGCCTGGAGCAGCACGGATTGGGAGGTGATTGCGTGTGGATCGGAAGGTGATCTGCAGCTGTGTGTGGGGGGGGGGTACAGTCGGGGCGTTGACCTAAGGAACCCTAAGTAAGGAACGAGGCCCCTTTTTTCCATAAGTTAAACTCCGATTTCCGATCGAAAACATAAGGAAAGCCTGAGGCAAGCTGTGAAACACTTAAGAAGCGCGGAGCCCCTTCCCAACGAAAAGGGTTCCTTCTTCAGGGCCCCGACTGTACTTACCGCCTGGCGGGCGCATGCTCTAAGGATCTCTTCCTTTCTGTTCTGCTGGCCCTTCCTGGCCTGCTGCGCCCGCCGCGCTAATCAAGGAGGGGGCAGAGGCGGAGGCGGAGGAGGAGGAGGAGGCAGAGGAGGGGGAGGAGGAGGGGGAGGAGGGAGGAGGAGGAAGGAGAAGGAGGAGGAGGAGGGGGGAGGAGGAGGGGAGGAGGAGGAGGGAGGAGGAGGAGGAGGAGGAGGAGGGAGGAGGAGGAGGAGAAGAGGAGGAGGAGGAGGAGGAGGAGGGGGAGGAGGAGGGGTCAGGGCTCGGATTTCGCCACGCGTTCGACGGATTCCGAACCCTAACCCCCGCCGCCCATGAGTTGCCTGAATATTTGATCGGCGAGGGTAGGGTCCGGATGTCGCCGCCGAAGAGAAGAGAGAGAGAGAGAGAGAGAGAGAGAGAGAGAGCGAGAGAGAGAGAGAGCGAGAGACAAAAAACAAGAGATAGAGAGAGTCAGAAAGAGAGAGAGAGAGAGAGAGAGAGAGATAGAGAGAGAGAGAGGGAGCCAACAAAGAGAGACAGAGATGGCAGAAAGGCTGCCCGAACTTGTGCGATCAAAATTCCCAATGCCCTCGGTGTGAGGCATAAGAGCTGCGAATGGACCGCGCCGCGAGCGGCACGGACATGATTTTCCCAAATGCAGGAAGGCATAGGCTCGAACGGTTCAGCTTGCCCTTGAGCTTATCGAACGTGGCCTTGTCACGAGCTGCTCTCTCTGCATCGGTCTCGACCTCGGCATGGACAGCAGGGAAATGTTCCGTAATCGACTTGGCGGCGGCAAGAATAACGGGTGTAGCGATAGTGCTGGTAACCGCGCCAGTGGCCCAGACATAGAGTGAAACGCCAGACGAACACTGGAAACCCAGCGTGTGACGTAAACGTCTCTCTGCGAACGAATGTTTGCGCATGCATGGTGCCAGCAAGTGAGGAGGGGATATCGGAGTCGTGGAGGGGGGGGGCGGGGGAGACGGGGCGAACGGGGGAAGGGAGGAGGGCGGAGAGGGGCAGAGGGACAGAGAAGGAGAGGACAGGAGGAATGGGGGAGGGCGTCAGAGGAGGCATGGGGGAGGGGGGGGGCTCGAGAGGGCAGAGGTGGAAGAGAAGGTGGAAGGGCAAGAGACATGGTTTGAGGAGGGGGAATGGGGGAGGGCATCAGGGGGGGAATGGGGGAGGGGGGGGGTCGAGAGGGCAGAAATGGACGAGAAGGTGGAGGGGGCAAGAGAAGTGACGAGAGGAAGGGGGAGGGGGGGAGCATTGGGGGGAGAGAAGGCGCAGGACGAGGACGTTTGGCGGGGGGCAGGAAGAGGGCGCACGAGGGCGGCTCGCCCGTTGGCGTTGGCTTGGCGCGCGGCCAAGCGCGGAGCTGCCAAGTGACTGCAGACCTCTCCTCCTCCCTCCTCCTCCTCCTCCTCCTCCTCCCTCCTCCTCCTCCTCCTCTCCTTCCTCGCTCCTCCTCCCTTCCTCCTCCCTCCTCCTCCACCTCCTCCCTCCTCCTGCTCTTCATCGGGTGAGGATCGAGCTCTCGCAGGTCCAGCTTTCGATATGGCTCCAGGACCTCTCCACAACCTCCCCATGGCCCAAGGAGGCCCGGAGAGGGCCACAAGGGCCTCGTCAGGGCCTTTTCGAGTCCCCCAAGAGAGCACCTCAAGGCAGCCCCAGGAAGCCTCAAGGGATCCTTTTTCGGAGTCCACAGGGGGGGGGAGTGCGACCTCGCTTGGAGTCGATAGTTGTTAGTCGCCAGAGTGGCCCCAAGAGGCCCTGAAAGGCTTCTAAGCGAGTCCCCAGAGAGCTAAACGAGAGTTTTAGAAAGCATCCCGACCCAAAGGGCGACTTTGGCAATCAAACGGGACGCTAAACTGATGCGGCACACGTAACGACAACTCAGCCTAGCAAGCATGCGCTAGTCTGAACTAAGCTGGGACAAACACCGCCAGGTAAGGCTAAGCTCATACCAGCTCAGCGACGGCAAGTTACACCCGCCCGAGATAGGCCACGTCAGGCAAAGTCCAATCAGCACAGGAGAAACCGAGCCAAGCTCAGCACCGCTCTTTTACGCCAAGCTGACACGCGCCAAGCCACGGTTAGCGAATATCGCACTACCCCATGCTCACCTAAGCTCAGATATGAAAACCACGACGCAAGCAAGCTACAGTTGAGACGAAAGAAACAAACCAATGGCGTGATAACGCACATTCATGCGATGCACGGAAAGCGATAATGGTAGAGTGGATACGACATCTCGGAGGCCAGCTTGAGCAGAACCAGCCACCGAAGGATCACACTCGAGTGTCTGATTGCGTGACCGAGTCGCCTCATTATCCTTTTCCCCAACCTCCCCGCCCACCCGCGCGCGCGGGTGGGAGGATCGGAGGAGGCAGAGGACGAGGAGGAGGAGAAGGAGGAGAAGGAAAACCAAAGTAAATCCAAGATGCACCAAAGCTGCTGCAACACACCCTCCCTTCCCAAACCCCCTCCCCAGAAGCCCCTCCCCAGAAGCCCCTACGATAATCACTCTTCACTGCAAGAAGCGCCGCCTTGAAAGACCAACACCTCACAGGCCTGTCATTCAAGCGAGAACCCTGCAACAGAAACTGGCTTGCAACCGTCTACGATAAAACTGACTGCAACAGCGTATGTTCATTTACTTCAGCGGAGTGTCCAACGAGACCACATTTCTGAAGCCATCGCTCCCATGTGTGCAACATCTGCAACTGTCTACAAATATGGTTGTGAACGTTGGAGAAACGAACTGCCCCCCACCCGTGTAGCTGTTATATAAGTTCAAGTGTCTGGTCTTCAAGCTCAAGACAGCCCTCAACGAGAGCCCCACTATGAAAAACAGCCGCCCTCCATCCTTGCAGCTTGCAGCTGTCGCATCTGTTTAAGACGACTGCGCGCCGCACGAAGGCGAGAATTCCATGTTGAAAAGGAGCCGCCCTTCATGCGTGCACCGATTGCAACCTTTTGAAAATAATGTGCGCGACGCTGATGAGCGACCACTGCTCTGAAATTAACTCCCCCGGCATTCCTTTAACTGTTGCAAGCTGTCGAGAAGAATGTGCGCGGCGCTAGTGCGAACGCTCTATTGTGAAACACCCCCATCCTTGCAGCACTGCCGAATGTTTAAGGCGTATGCGCGGCGTTACAGCGAGAGCTACATTTCGAAAACGATGCCCCCTTGATCCTTGCGACTGTTGCAAGTGTCAAGATTCAGGATCGTGCGGCAGGAGGGAGTTTCTATAATGAACACGGATGGGGAGGAAGAGGAAGAGGAGCAGGAGGAGGACCAGGAGGAACAAAATGTACAGGAGGCTGGTGAGGGTGTGGCTGGGGAGGATGAGCAGGAGGAAGAGGAGCAGCAGAGGGAGCAAGAGGAGGAACACGAGGAGGAGCAGGAGGAGGAGGAGCAGGTTGAGGAGGAGGAGCAGGACGACGAGCAGGAGGGACAAGATGTGCAGGAGGCTGGTGAGGAGGAGCAGCGTACCAAGGCGGCAAAATGCCCAGCGGCCTGCGGGCCTGGAGGCGCTCGCCCTGCTCGTGGCCGCACGGTGCTGGCCGAAGCAGAGACTGCGCACTGGCAAACATTGAAAGACTGTTCGCTCTGCGCGAGGCGGAGGAGGAGGAGGAGGAGGAGGAGGCGGAGGAGGAGGAGGAGGAGGAGAGGAGAAGGAGGAGCGGAGGGAGGAGGAGGAGGAGGAGGGGAGGAGGAGGAGGAGGAGGAGGAGGAGGAGGAGGAGGAGGGGAGGAGGAGGAGGAGGAGGAGGAGGAGGAGGAGGAGGAGCGGGGAGGGGGGGGAGCGGGGAGGGGGGAGGAGCGGGGAAGGGGGAGGAGCGGGGTTGATCAGAGCGTGAATTACCTACCCCGCTTTCGCTTCCAGGCAAAACCAAGCCATACCACGCGCCTCCCTGTCAAGCTGCTTGACCAGTACAGGCTGCAATTTGGCATCGTTTGGTATCTCTTGGAAGCGAGGGTGGTCAAAAGCGAGGTAGGTTTGTTTTCCCCCGAGTTGAGGAGGAGGAGGAGGAGGACGAGGAGGAGGAGGAGGAGGAGGAGGAGGAGGAGGCCCGCGTGCCACACTCCCGCCTTTTTCGCTCGGCAACGGACCCCGAGCGGGGGGCATCGTGCCAGCTCCTGGGTGAAACCCCGACAGAGTAAGACATACCGGGTCGAGCGGACGGGCCCCCACGGGCGGGTCGGGCGAGCGGGCCCTGACGGGCAGTCCAGGCGGGCGGACCGTACAGCCGAGGTTGATTGGAGAGGACCCGCGGGAGGACGCGAGACCCTTTCCGAGGGCCACATTGCCATAGGAATGGAGAAGGCATGGGTCGCCAAACACAGGACGCAAGAGCACCCTTGATCTGGCAGGGTCGACCTACCAGTCCGCCTCGACTGTAGCGGGCGGGCCGCGCGGGCGACGCCTGGCGGACAACTAGCCGGGCGGGCCAGGCGGGCGGACCGCGACGGGCGGGCGGGGCAGGCGGGCGGGCCTTCGCGGCCCTGAAAGCAGGCCCGAGGCGCCTCCAGAGGCTGCAACCGCCTCAAGGACAAGTTCGAGATGGCGCGAAGACCCCCAGGAGCCCTCAACATGTCTCCAAGAGGCCCCTGGAGGCCTGAGGAAGCTCCCCGAGGTGCGCCCAAGGAGCCCCAGGCGAGAGACCGAAAGGAGAGCCAAGGGAAGCCACTGGTTTCTCGGCGCTTTTCGCTTCCCCACGGCTTCGCCCTGAGATGCCCCTGGGCGGGAAGCCGAAGCAAGCAGCCGAGTGGAGCTGGAGGCGTGCAGGCGCACGGCAGCAGCGCCCCGCGCGGCCTGGGACGGGCGGGCGACCGCGTTGCCGCGCCGAGGAGCGCGCGCGCAGCGGGGCCCTTGCTACAAAGGGAGAGCGCCCCTCCTCCTCCTCCTCCTCCTCCTCCTCCTCCTCCTCCTCCTCCTCCTCCTCCTCCTCCTCCTCCTCCTCCCCCTGCTCCTCCCCCTCCTCCTCCTCCGAGGTCCCAGAGCCCGCAGCTGTCCCCAGCAGCAGCTTCTCATCCTCGGCTGGGGCCCAGGGAGGGACCCTGGGAGGTCCAGAGCGGCAGAACTCGCCAAGCCCCTCTCCCGCAGGCACCCCTCCCCCCGTTGATCAAGGGGAGGGGAGCGCGTCCGGAGGGCCTCTGGGCGCCTCTGCGAAAGCATCCGCAGTGCAGACGCAAGACCAAGAGCACACACGATACAGTGGAGGCTCGACCACAAGATATCTCCCACGAGAAGCCCAACCCTGAGACCCCAGGACGTCCATGGATTATTTTGGCGTGGGACCGTCGCGCATTCCATAGCGAAACCACCGGAACCCAAGAAATCCAGGGCGCCCCGGAGGAAACCAGGGTGCTTGTGCTTCTTGGCATGGGCCCCCACTGTGCTGGGGCTCCGTGCTGCCGGCGCCCGCGGGCCTCCGCCCCGCACAAGCCCGCGCCCCGCCTCGGTCCTGGCCCCGCCCCGGGGCGCTGCAGCCCGTGGCGAGCCGCGCGGCGAGCCGGAGCCGTGGACGGCTCCGAGCCGCGCTCTCCCTGCAGCTAGGCGGCCTGTCTCTCCAGTGGCCGCGCTGCGCGATAACTGCGCGCGACTCCCGACGACGCGACGGCCGAACCCTCCTCCTCCTCCCTCTTCTTCCTCCTCCTCCTCCGCCTCCTCCTCCTCCTCCTCCTCCTCCTCCCCTCCTCCTCCTCTCCTCCTTCCTCCTCCTCCTCCTCCTCCTCCTCCTCGTCGTCCTCCTCTCCTCCTCCTCCTCCTCCTCCTCCTCCTCCTCCTCCTCCTCCTCCTCCTCCTCCTCCTCCCCCAATCCCTCGCCCTACCCCTGCCTGCTGCTCGCGCCGCCCCTTTTCCTCTTCCACCCGTGGGGGTCTCTCGCCGGAGGCGGCGGGCTCGCCAGCAACTCAGCAGTCCCCGAGCAAAGCTTGCACTACTCGGCTATCGCTTGTCTGCTCCCGCTTCTGTGGGCTGGCCATCGCTCGGACGTCCATTCCCTCCTGCCTTTTTCGGTTCCGAGCGTGGCTTCTGCGCCAAATGATCAAGGATGCTCCTCCATGGTCCTCGCCGAAGGGAGCATGCACACGTCCGAGCGATGCCAAGTGGGCATCGCTCCCCAACGGTGCCCTGCCCATCCAGCGGCACAGGCCGCATCCGCTGGAGGTGTCCCGGCTCCCGCCGGGGGCCTCCTCGCAGATGCCACTTCTCGCGGGCGCCCCGCAGGCACCGCGTGGGCGCCGGGTAGCTGCCCCGTCGCCGCCCCGTGCGCCGGCTGGCACTTCCAGCTGTCGGCCCAGTTGCCGCCCCCTCGGTTGCACCACGTAGCTTGCACCACATAGTCAGCGTCTTGCACCCCCCAGTTCTGACATGCAGCTTGCACCGTCTGCACCACACTGCTTGCACCACATACCAGTGTAGATCGTAGCCTCTGCCACACAGCTTGCACCAGATCAATTGCCCAGCAATGCTTGCATCACACTGCACAGCCAGCACAGCATAGCTGCCGCCACATAGCTTACACCACATAGGACACACCATATCGCTGGTTCCGTGTAGCTTGCACATCCAGAGCTCAAGAATTTACTCTAAACAGTTCTGACACCAATTCGCAGAGGCACATTGAAATGTAACTAAAGGCGCAGAGTGCAGCAACACCGCCCTCCTAATAAGCACCCCGACAAGCGAAGCCTTTTAGTAAACTCACCTCGGGAAGGGATCGAGCAGGGCTGTATAGTAAACGCCAGTTATGGGGGTCGGGATGAGTTTCCTCCCCCGAAGGCAGGCAGGGCTGAGAAGCTTAGCATGCGAGCGTCGGTGGTAGCCGCAGACTCTGTCGTTGCAGACGAGTGGCGTATGACGGCGACGCGCAGGCCGGGCCGTGGTATCGGACTGCGCCCGACGCGCCCAACCCCTGACCCCGGTGGCTATCCGCCCTGAGGTCGGGCGCATGCTGGGGCCACGGCTGCAGTGGGAAGAGGAAGGAACGACGAGGAGAGGGCAGGGAAAGGTTGGGAGGAGCGGTCAGAACACCTCCCAGGGGGGGCATGTTTGACGATTGCCCGCGCTCGCCGAGCGCGAAGGGCCCGCTTGCCCGACGTGAGCCTCCTGGCGTGCGCAGCGACTGGTCGCTGTGCCTCCCCGCCGCGCGCCCGCTGCAGGAACTGTTCGGGTGACGTCAGGTGGCCACCGCAGCGATCAAGGCCTCGCCGATGCTGGGTCCAGGATCGGTGAGGCAGGCAACCACAGCATCGAATCGAGAAGTCGGATCGGCGATCGTTCGAAATGGATCGGATCGGCAGAAATCGGCAGCCAGGTCGGGAGGAGTCGAATCGGCGGAAATCGGCAGAGCAGTCAGGCCTCATTAGAGAAATCCACAGTGGAATCCCAAGTCGAATCGAATCGGACTCGGAGGCCTTTGAAATCGAATCGAATCGAATCGGAGGAATCAAAATGATCCCTGGTCCAGGATCGGTGAGGTGGTCAGCTGGTACCCCCCGAGATCTGCCCCTGCCACATGCCACGTGCCGCATGGCCACACATGCCTGGCTGTAAAGGTGACGCGTGTCTGCCACACGGAGAGCGCGAACGCCGCCCCTTCCCGAGAGAAATCGACCAACTTCCGCCATAGAAAGAGCCGGCTGAGTGTCGACGATTCCACGGGCTTCCATGGATAATGCCAGCTTCCACCAACGGTCAAATGAGGCAACACCTTTGCAGAGAATGTCGCCCCCCCTATGTGGCGAACTCCTCCGCTATCCTGCGCCACTGCAAGCCGGCCAGTCGCGTTCTCACCTCGCGCTCCACAGAACAAATCTGAGGCCACCGCTGGTCTTCGTGTCGAAGAGCAACATGCCTCCCGGCTCAAAACCTTGGCCGCGCGTGCAACGAACAGACAGCCCGAAGCCGATCCTCAGCCCTGCAGCACAGCAGACGATGTGAATTGAACAGAGATCGTCCGAATGCGACCTCTTATACACACACACACACACGTTTGCGTCGACGGCCCTGTGCGCAACACCAGAGCGATTGCAGTCGGCGTGAGCCCAAAACCAGCGAGAGGAAACGCACCACACACACGGGCACACATACACACAAAAACACTTTTTCGTACCAGCGGCTCAGTGGAATCCAGCATGGACGGTGCGGATGTCAAGACAAGACGCTCGACACGCACACACAGGGCTTGGATGAATCTAATATCGGTCATGAGCAATCAGCATCAACGCACGAGCCTGTTGCTCAGCGCGCCGTGATTCGTGGATGCCACGTCCGCGACATATTTCCAACACGATCCAAATGCGGCAAACCAACACAAATCTACGTTATGACGAGCTGGTCATAGAAGAAGTCCTCGCCATGCTTCTCTAATCCCTCCTCCTTTTCCTCCTCCTCTTCCTCCTCATCATCATCATCACCCTCATCCTGCACCTCCTCCTCATCACCCACCTCTTATCATTGTTGAAGTGATCCACCACCGTGCCCTGAGGCACGAGTTGGAGTGCACCATGGTAAAGGGTGAAGAGAGGTAGGCGTGCTGGTGGCCTTGCCTCTGCCGGCGCGCCAGTGGCGCACAGCCCAAATTAATTACTTAATGAACCCGGAAGTGTCGGGCTGGGTGCGGCAGGCCGCCAGCAGCCCAGCCAGCCGCCGAGGAGGGAAGGAGGGAGGGGTGGGGCCGCCAGGCCGCCGATGCCCCCCACAGTGTACCAGGGTCCCGAGTTCTCTGTATCGAATACCCTGAGTATTCTTTGGTCATGCTCTGCAAGGGGCCCACGTCCAGCAGTTCCGTGCGCTCCCAGGTCCTCCTGGGCGGTACTGGGTGTTTCCCCGCTTGAAGGGCAGTCCCCAAGGCCGGGTCAGGCACCCGAGCGCCGCCGGCGGAAGCCAGCCATGCCGGCAGAACACGCGAGCAAAGCGGAGACAGCAGCAGCAGGAGACCGACGGGCTGCACCCCGAGCCGACAGCAGAGAGCCATCGCGAGTGAAGGATCCTGGGAAGGACCTCCAGCAAACGGGCGGAGAGTGAGCAATGTGGCAGCTGGGCGTGGCAAAGCAGGAGGCGGCGACGGCCACGGCCCCAGCGCTGTGCATACGGGGCGCCGGCGTGTGCTGCACCACGGGGGGCCTGGGACAAGGTGTGCAGGCCGGACGCCGCGGCGTAAGAGCTGTCCCCAGCCAGGCCGGGTCAGCCGCGGGCGGACGCCCCTTGGCAGCAGAAACACGTGCCACCCAGGAGCGGGGAGCCAGGAGCAGCGGGCAGGCCTGGAGGTCACTCCATCGGTGCGCTAGGCATCCACGAGAGCGGAGGTGACCCGAGGCCAGCGGGGCGGCGCCGAGGAATTGCCAGGCCCGCCGGAAAGGGGCGGATGACCCAGAGCGGCGAAGGCTGCGGTTCCCAGGGCGAATTCGAAAAGAACGGGCGGGGGGGCCTATAGCCCACGCCCCCTCCTCCTCCTTCTCGTCCTCCTCCTCCTGCTCCTTCTCCTCCTCCTCCTCCTCCTCCTCCTGCTCCTCCTGCTCCTCCTGCTCCTCCTCCTCCTCCTCCTCCTCCTCCTCCTCCTCTTGCTCCTCCTCCTCCTCCTCCTCCTTCTCATCCTCCTCCTCTAGCTCCTCCTCTACCTCCTTCTCCTCCTCCTGCTCCTCTTCCTCCCCGGTCCTCCCCGTCCTCCTCCTCCTCCTCCTCCTCCTCCTCCTCCTTCTCCTGCACCCATCCTTTTTCCCCCAAACCTCCTCCTCCTCCTCCTCCTCGTCCTCCTCCTCCCCTCCTTGCCCTCCTTGCCTCCTGTCCCCTCCTCCCGCCCCCCCGCCTCTCCAGTCCCCTAGTCCCCAGTAGCCTGGGCCGCGTCGCCGAGGCTCGAGACGCTGTCGCCCATTGAGCCTCAGGACGGCGACGTCGCCAACCACGACGACGACGACGACGACGACCACGATGACTTCTACTACTACTGCTACTACTACTACTACTACTACTACTACTACTACTACTACTACTACTACTACTACTACTACTACTGCTACTACTACTACTACTACTACTACTACTACTACTACACCTACTACCACCACTACTACTACTACTACTAATACTACTACTACTACTACTACTACTACTACTACTACTACTACTACTACTACTACTAGGGCTGACCGGGGGATGGTGGCCGGGCAGTTCGTCCGTGAAACGACTTAAGGGTGGTGATGGAAGTTTCGCGTTTCCAACGGCTTTAACAAAAAAAGAGATTGTGGGTGTGGGTGTGGGTATGGGTGTGGGTGTTTCATGTATGATGTATGCTGGTGTATGATGTTGTGTGATAATGTATGAGTGTGTATAATGTTGTATGATGATGTACGATGATGTATGATGTTGTACGATGATGCATGGTGATGTATGAAGTTGCACGATGATGTATGATGATGTATGATGATGTATGGTGATCTATGGTGGTGTATGATGGTGTATGATGATTGATGTATGGTGTTAGCGTATGTAAGATGTAAGGTGATTAAAGGTGTATGATGTGTGATGTTTGATGTTGAATGTTGAATGATGTTTGATGTTTGATGTTTGGTGTTTGATGATAAACGATGTTTGTTGATGGTTGGTGTTTGATGTATGATGGTTAATGATGATTGGTGCTTGATGTATGATGTATGATGTTTGATGTTTGATGATGTATTGTGTTTGATGTTCGATGATGTATGATGTATGTTTGGTGTTGTTTGGTGTCCGATGTTTGATGTTTGATGATGTTTGATGAGTTATGTGTAATGTTGTGTGGTGTTTGATGTGCGGTGTTTGATGTTTGGTGTTTGATGATGTACGATGTTTGATGTTTCATGTTCGATGCTTGATGACGTCTGATGTTTGGTGATGTGTGGCGTTTGATGTTCGATGTTTGACGATGTATGATGTTTGTTATTTGATGATGTATTTTGTTTGATGGTTGTTGTTTGATGATGTTGAATGTTTGATGATGTATGATGGTTGGTGTATGATGTATGAAGTTTGATGATGTCTGATGGTTGCTGTTTGTTGTATGCTGTTTGATGACGTGCAATGTATTACGATGCATGGTGTTTGAGGATGTGTGAGAATGTATGATGTACGGTGTTTGATTGTCTAGTATGATGTCCGGTGTTTGATGATGTATTATGATGAATTGTGTTTGGTGGTGTATTCTGATGTATGGTGTATAAAAGTACAATAATGTAAGAGGATGTATTATGATGTATGGCGTTTGATGGTGTGTTATGATGTATGGTATGTGATGTTGGATGATGTGTGATGCTGTATGATGTATGAGACTTGATGATGTCTGATGTTTGATGACGTATGATGTTTCACGGTGTCTGATGCTTGATGATGTATGATGGTTGATCATGTATGGTGTCTGTACAATGTTGTATGAGGCATGATGATGTATGGTTTCTGTGCATCATCATCACCAGCAGCAGCATCGACATCACCACCAGCAAAATCATCATCATCATGATCATCATCACCACCATCAGCATCGTCGTCGTCATCGTCGTCGTCATCGTCATCGTCATCATCATCACGATCATCATCATCATACGCACCATCATCATCAGAAGCATCATCACCACCATCATCATCATCAGCAGCATCAACATCAACAGCATCATCATCATCACGCCCTCGTCCCGTTCGACCGCCTCAATCACAATCATCACGCCCTCGTCGTCAGGCCTCCCAGGAGGCTTCCCAGGAGGCGAGACCCGTCAGGAGGCCCAGAAGGCCTCCCAGGAGGCCCCAGAGGCCTCTCAGGAGGCCCAGGAGGCCTCTCAGGAGGCCAAAGAGGTCTCTCAGCAGGATGCCCAAGGGGCCTGCCGGGACGCTTAAGAAAACCCAGCAGGAGGCCCAAGAGGCCTCTCAGGAGGCCCCAGGGGCCTCTCAGGAGGCCCAAGAGGCTTCTCTGGAGGCCCAAGGAGGCCTCTCAGGAGGCCCTAGAGGCCTCCTAGGGGGCCCAAGAGGCCCCCCAGGAGGCCCAAGAAGCCTCTCAGGAACCTCAAAAAAAGGCCTCTCAGGAGGCCCAAGATGCGCTTCAGGAGGCCCAATAGGTCTCTCAGGAGGCCCAAGAGGCCGTCCAGAAGGCCCAAGAGGCTTCCCAGGAAGCCCAAGAGGCCTCCCAGGAGGCCCCCCAGGAGCCCCAAGAGGCTTCTCAGGAGGCCCCAGGGGCCTCTCAGGAGGCCCAAGAGGCTTCTCTGGAGGCCCAAGAGGCCTCTCAGGAGGCCCAAGAGGTTTCTCAGGAGGCCATAGAGGCCTCCTAGGAGGCCCAAGAGGCCCCCCAGGAGGCCCAAGCAGCCTCTCGGGAAACTCAAAAAAAGGCTTCTCAGGAGGCCCAAGATGCGTTTCAGGAGGCCCAATAGGTCTCTCAGGAGGCCCAAGAGGCCTTCCAGAAGGCCCAAGAGGCCTCCCAGGAAGCCCAAGAGGCCTCCCAGGAGGCCCCCCAGGAGCCCCAAGAGGCTTCTCAGGAGGCCCAACAGGCCCCAGAGGCCTCTCAGGAGGCCCAAGAGGCTTCTCAGGGGCCCAAGGGGCTTCCCAGAAGGCTCAAAGAGGCCTCAGGAAGCCAAAAAAGCTTCCCAGGAGGTCCAATAGGCTTCACAGGAGGCCCAATAGGCCTCTCAGGAAGCCCCAGAGGCCTCCCAGGAGGCCCAGAAGGCCTCCCAGGAGGCCCAAGAGGCCTCCCAGGAGGCCCAAGAGGTCTCTCAGGAGGCCCAAGAAGCCTCTCGAGAGGCCCAAGATGCCTCTCAGGAGGCCCAAGGAGCATCCCAGGATACCCGAGAGGCCTCTCAGGAAGCGTAAGACAGCTTCCCTGGAGGCCCCGCACACCCCGCGCGCCTCGCGCGCCACCGCGGCGCGCG